CCGCGAAAAATATTCCCCGCACACGCACTTCCACTAAGGCCCAAACCCAGACACAGACTGCCCTTCCCGATAGGGCCATCCAAAAGGACAATCAAACTTTTCCCAAGGCCTCTATTCCGTTCAGATCCCCCCGACAGTCCCAATTCAGCTTGGGTGGGTGGGAGCTTTCACGGAGCGGCATTTTGCCTAGAACCAAGTTATAACCATCGGTCGAACGGCATTTGGTGCATGCGATCGCTGCACTCAAGAAATACCGCAACTCAGAACCGGAAAGACATGTTGATCAGCTACTTAAGTAGTCACTCCCTCATCCCTACCCGCAAACAGTAAATAGGGGCTTCCCTGGGCGGGGTGGGCTTACAGGCAACGCAAGCGTGCGGCCAGGCGCGCTTCATGCCCGAGCACGCGACCCCGCCCGCACAACCTTAAATCAAAATCCTAGACTTGCCTGGTGGCTGTACAGACACTACTTTGAAAAAGACACTGCTGTCCTTGGCCTTGTCTGACCTCAGCTGTCACGCAAACTTTACCAAAGCAACTTGGCCTCTGCAGGGTCCGGGAAGCTGGCATGAGTTTGTTACTTTGGAGGCCCAGCCATCGTCTCGGCACTGAAAGCTCCTATCACAAACTCTTCTCAACCTGCTCGGCCACTGCAGAACTGTCCTTTACCGCAGACAAGAGGGTGTCACGAAGTTCATAGACCTCTGCGGCAAGCTACTCACCAATACATTGGCTTCCTCTGCGGGTTGGGTATCTTCTGGCGTCAGGATGCAATGCAAGACGAAAGTACCAAAGCCCCGTGCATCTTTGGATTGTGCGTCAGCTTCCAAGGATTCTACCTTGGAGAGAGTCACAGAATGGGCTGGCTCAGCCACGACCCAATTTCACGTTCAAACTGCTGGCCTTCGCCTTTGGCTTGTTTGATGCAACCAGGATTTCCCTGCAAGCTTCCACCTAAGCTGAGCATCTGCACACATTCTGCTCCGAATTCAGGAGCTGAAAGCTGCTTAGGCTGCTCGCAAGCTGTTCCGACTTTTCTGACTCACCTTCGCTTGCGCTGGAACCTGGAGTCTTTCAGGTCTGGCGATGCAGGAAAGTCCACGGCATGACATGCCTGGCATCGCGTACTGCTTGATGTACTCCTGCCACATTTCAAGAAGCACGCCGGAGATATCATCGTATCAGCTTGAGGCTTGAAAATATCGTTGTGATTTCAAGCGCACATGCCAGAAATGCTGGGAGATGCTCATCAAAGAAATCTTCTCGAATCAGCCAGCGCTTCAGTGCTATCTCACGGTGATCCTGCAGCAACAGGTCGCGCAGCAGATAGGCAAGGTCGAATTGGCCACTCGCCCTGTGAGGGAGTTTCATAGAGGAACATGCGTATGTGCATAAGCCTTGCATGTGTATAGCTAGAATAGCTTGAAACCTGCAGCAGAAGATTAGTCCCTACAGCACATGTCACTGCTCTTCTTACAAAACACACGTGCAGGTAGAAAGTCTATTCGCCATGGGCTCCTGCTTGAGGTGCACCCTGCGCAAAATGAAGTCGCGAAGAAGCTCTCCGTCTCTGCCATGGCCCCTTTCTTCCACGAACTGCGGCCTTGGTGCGCTACAGAGAGCTACAGAAATCCGTGATCAAGCATAGAGGCGAGGACAGAGCAGCAGTGTTGCGCTGAACAGAGCAGCATACTGGGTAGATCCCTGTCATCCTCTTATAGTGACTGTAAATAGCACTTCTACCCTTCTCCCTGCTGCTTCTCCTGCTGCTGCTGCTTCTTGTATTGGAGCTGGTAGTCATACTAGTCTGAATTTGGGCACTGAGCCACCCGGAGGGACTGTTACAACATGCGCCACCTCCATGTTCCAAGCACTTTGCACAGTGGCTATGGGCTTGTTTTGTCACGAGACCCCTTGTTCTTGAAATCAACTTGGAGTTTTGCACCTCACCGGTGCCCTGAAGGCTACAGATATGTCCAAAAAACATCAAAAAACAAGTCAAGAGTGAACCTGAAATTGGACAATGTCGTCGAGCAGCACAAGGTTCGCCTTTTCGCGCTTGAACTTTGCAGCCTGCACGGACAGCTTCGTCCGTCAACACTAGGAGACAGAGACTGAACCTACATCAACATAAGGATCTTTCCATGGGCCCCTGGGCTTGTAAGGTCCCTCTATTGAGGAATCAGGAATCTCTTGGAAGGATCCTTTTGTTTTTGTGCCCCGGGTCCATTGATGCGTGACGGAAACTGTCCAGGCCTTGACCACTGCCAGCTCCTGTCAGACGCACTGCTCAAACTTTTGCAGCTTGTGATTTCCAGTTGTCACAACGAACGTCGCCTCATGTGCCCGCTGAGGGACCTTTAATCCAGGGGCCCCTATCAATCAAGATTCTTCATGCCATTCCGGCGGTACGTCAGCGCGTCTATACCTTTTGCCACGCTACACAGACGCATCTCAGTTGGTTGCCTTTCTGGCCACGATACTTTGCGCAGCCGAAATAAAGTCTGCATGAGCTGCAGGAGGCTATAGAGGTTCGTGCATCTACTGGGTCAGCGACCCTTGAGAGAACAAAGTCTTTCACAGTCATTCAGAGTCATTCATCACAGTGTGTGTACACCTAACACGATTGATGCTGCAAGGTTCCATTCGACCATGACGGCGTTGTTCCTACGGGAAGGGCTCAAGTCAAGGCTCCTCCTTGGGAACCTCGACGAGCTGCTTGTTGGCGGCCTACCCAGAGCAAGTGACGCACAAACCGGCGCGCATCACGTGAGGTAAGCAGCTCACAGGCAACAAAAACAACGAGGTTAGGCATGAAACGAGAGACAACCATTCAAGCTCGTTCTGAAATGCTCGAACGGAGACAACAAAGATAGGAGTCGTAAAAATGCTAAAGACGTAATGGTAGCAGTAACAGACATGTACTGCAGTAGTGGTTCTACTGGTGATGGTTGATATCATACGTCCAGCTTGCTGGCCTCGTCTTTTGCCTCCTCTGCCTCTGCAGGGTCCACGGCAACCAGCTGCAAGTCCGAGTCCTTCAGATCCGCATCTTCCTTCTCTTTGTCTGCCATGACCTGCCACAAGGGGCTGACATCACCTTCACAGACCCACTTGGAGCGCGGCAGCTTACGAGGCCTCTTCTGGTTTCCGCCCAGGTGGCTCAAGACATTGCGGCAGGTGTGGGGAGGAGTGCCATGCTGCTTGGAGGTGATTGCCACACAACCAAGCTTTACCTGATCGGGGCCAGGGCATGTCTTCGTCAGGTTGGCTTGGCGTATGTGCCAAGGCGCAAGATCAACGGGGGCAAGACTTGCAAGCCGCTACGAAGTTGGAGTGCAGTGTTGCTTCTGTTTGCTGACCACTGCTGCTTCCGTCAGAGGGCTATGGCACATGTATCTTCAATGACATGTATCTTCATTGATGCATTTGCAGGACCTACTTGCGTCATTGAGCTTGGTTAACCAAATAACACGATGTGCGACGAATCCAGAATTCAAGAGTCACTGAAGGACCTACCCAGCTCACACGTTTTTCCAGAAGGGCAAGGATCAAGCAGCAGCGCCAGATTCAGGCACGCTGGCTCACAGGAAGTCCCGGGCGCTGCTTCGACCTGGACGACGGACAACTGGTGTTCAGCAGTGACCAAGAATAGGGCTGACCTCGAACGCCTGGGGCAGAAGGTGTCCAGCAACGGCGTCTTTGCACCTCGCAGGTTCGTCCCTGCTTGCTTAAGATCTAGGCGGGGCATAGCAGTCGATCTGAGCTCACTGCCGCAGCCTCGCCTGTCCGATAGGCTACTGTTAGTAGAGCTCCAATGCCAGAGAAGTCTGCTGACATGAGAGCGAACTCGGGAGTGGGTGGTCGTTTAGCCCTGCCTTCATCTTCGCGGATAAACATAGATGCAAGCACAGTTGCAGGTAGCCCTCTCACGACCACTGTTGGCTCCCCAATCTGGCGCAGCGTGCAATTTTCAGACTGCTAACTCACTGGCACGAGGCCAGAGATCGAAATCACACATTTTTTGTTGATCCGGCAAAATGCTCTGTACATGTCCGCAGGAAGCGTGCCCGGCCCCAGCACGGTCGGTCCCTCTCTCTACACACATGCGGGGTAACTGAGCCGGCTGGGGCCTGCTGTATGTGAGCACCTGAGCGTCGCAAAGCACTACGTAGTAGGCCAAGTCAAGAGGATGCCTCTACATCCC